TTGCTGTACTAAGAATAAATTCACAAAGACATGAATGAGACACATACAATCAGAGACAGATTGAGACCTCTTCCTGCTCTGGAGTAAGATCCACGGGCTTTCCCTTGTAGAGCATCTTAACCCCATGAGGTTTGTATGGAGGTGGAAAAATCACACCATTGTGTTCCAATGTAGTCCATTTTTGCCCATCACCAGAGCTTGGCTGCAGTTTTGACGACTTAGAGTACTTGGGTTTTTTCAACTTCTTCTTTGTTTTCTTCATCGATGACGAAACAACTTTAGTTGCTTTCTTAACAGATGACACTTTACTAGCTGAAGCTACTGCCTTTTTTATCCTCTGAGATAAAGGAACTTCGTCGTCATCGTCCTCTGTCTTCTTTTCAGTTTTAACAGACGGTTGCTTACTAGAAACAGGTGTAGATGCATCAGAAAGTCTAGGCTTTTTAACTGAAGCCTGAGCAGCAGACTTGACCTCACCAGGGGGTCTCTTACTTAAAACTGTCGCAGATGGCAAACCATTTTGACGAATCTTAGGCTTAACTTCTTCAGAACTAGAAAACTTGCTAGTGGAAGCCCCTGCACTGGATTTCATTTGAAACTTTGATGCTAAGGGAATTTCATCATCTGAATCCTCTTTTTTGGGAGGTCTAGACTTCTGAACTGATGTTGAAGTACCAAGCACTTTGTTGGCGTGAATAGAATTGCTCTTAGATAACCCAGAAGGGACCCTAGCACTCAATGGTTTATCATCTTCAGAATCCTCAGATTCAGATTTTGGTTCAACAGCTTGCTTCGACTCCTTAGGAGCAATATTGGATTGTTGATTAACATTTTTTGCTTGATTACCTGCAAAAGATGACGGCCTTGAGTTTGGTGCAGGAGATGTCCTGGAGTTTGGTGCAGGAGATGTCCTGCTTGACAGAGGCAATGCTTTCGGACTAGTTAAAGGTGAAACAGCTGGAGATGCCTTAGAAGAGGCGGCTGTCTTAACTTTATGAGTACTAGAGCTCTGGCCATTAGGAGAACGTACATCAGGAACTTGCCGCCCCAATCTTCCATCCTGCTTCTGAGATGATGAATTGGACTGATTCTGCTTTGATGTGGTACTACTTCGTTTGAAAACTAAAGGCATGTCATCGTCATCATCAATATCTTCCATCAAATTTGTTTTGGCAAAAGCCTCTACAGCCATGATCTTTCTCTATGCTATACTGTCATATAATGTTCTCCTTATCTGTAAACAATTTTTCATAATTATAAGGCAACAAGGGTTAAAGTACAATAAAAAGAAAAAAGCAAAGGACATCTAGAGAACAAAAAATTGAAGTATATCATTGCAACAAGGCTGTAACAGAAAGCCACAAAGGAGAAACGAATCTATAACCCCAACAGATGGCAAGAAAACATAAATCTAGTTTCTTCCTCTCACAGCTAGTGCAATTGTACTATAAGTATAGGAATTATAACCTTTCATGCCAACACAATTCCAGCATTTTTTAAAATCCAGTTCAAGTTTCTTATAAATTTACTTTATCTATGTTTTCTCTTCCAAAGAGAGTTTAATTCTCATTATCTTGGCACTTATCCTCAAGGACTCAATGCTCTTATTTTGTCTTTAAAGGGCATCTCTCTCCCCATCACACAAAAACAAAAATAAGACGGGATCCGTTCCCCTCTCCATTCATTTTGTATGCAGTATGAAGCATAAAATCCGCGGAGCAAGCTAAATGAAACTTTTTCATATGGAATCCAAACTAAATTTCTCCTTTCTATTCCAACACAAACTATAACCCCAAATCTAGAAGCAAATTAAACATTAGGATCCTGGTAACTGTGAGCTTGAAATATACATGCACATTAAAGATTTAAAAAATCTAATTTTCAGATAAAATGTAATAAAAACTGATTAGCATTACAAAAAGACAAACTAGTCGACCATCGCAGCTTAAAGGAAGCAGTTTCAGATGGTTAAAAAAAAAAACCAAAAATGTACAAATTAACTAGTAAGCATGTAAAAATAGTTATAAGAATTAACAAATCGGAACTTAAGCTTTCATTAAGCAGTGGAGAGCTAAGAGATAAATCATTACAACAATTTCATATTTGAATTATTACATGAAAAAAAAGGGGGATTAGGGTTTTTGTTTCACAGAGATGAAATTGGAAGATATAGAACAGGAGAGAGAAAGTGAGGTGAACGTACGGAGATGAATTTGGCCGGAGAAAGAGATCGGAAGGAGGAGGAGAATGGGGATGAGGAAGTTCGTAGGCGAGGAAGAGTGGTGGTCATTCAATGGTAATGACCGAAGAAATCGACATTACAATTTCAATTCATCTTAGCAGGCCAATCGGAATTTGGGTCCGAATTCTACCGCCATTCACCGTTACACGGCTAGGTTGGATTTGGGCTTTCTGTGACCTACAAGGATATTGGGCCTTGAAGTCTACTTATTGTAAATGGGCCCACATTTTACTGTCGGGAAAATTACGCGATTAAGCAAACTTATACTACTTAATAAGTCATTAACCATTAATTGCGTCGGCTGACTTTGAGTTTATATAATTAGTCACGTTTTGTATAATTAACCACATTTGTATAATTTGCAACTAACAATTCTTCGTTTGATTTGTCTTTGTATACGATGGTTTGTATTTTTATATGACGATGATTTCCTTTGGTTTTTCAGTTTTATGACCATATACCTTCAATCTTTTTGTGTATAACTTTTTAAAGTTTGTATAAACGTCTAGTTTTTGAATTTTGTATAATATAATTTATATAATGTAATTTGTATAATATAGTTTGTATAACTTTTTAAAGTTCATATATTTATGTTTGTATCAATTCGTTATTTTGAGTTTTATTATATTTGTATAATTTTCAGACTTTATATTTCTCAATTATATACAAAAACACGTAAATTATACAAACGTACCTGCGAATTATACAAATTATTGCCCTCTCTCGCTCGCCTCTCTCCTCCCTCTCCCAATCTCGATAACCTCTCTCCTCTCTCCCAATCTCGCTCGCAGGATATACAAATACATATGTATACGAGTTACATATATACAATTATCTAACCAATATAACTCTCTCCCACTCTCTGCACTCTCTCACTCACCTCTCTCCTCCCTCTCCCAATCTCACTCACCACTCTCCTCCCTATAACATGTAGCTACGAATCGTAATTAGCAAACTATAGTTATGAAACATAATTAAGCTATTTTTGAGTGGCTGGCTATATGCGAAAGTTCCCCAATAAATACAAGAAATAAATAAATAATCTTTCAGTGTTTGCAGAAATTGAAAAACGTTTCTATCTTTGGTGTTTCATATGCATAACTAGTTTTCCTTTAGTCTTGTATCTATTTATTGCAAAAATGTTTTGGGAGATACAAGTGGAGATTTGTGAGTAAAGGATGCATTCAAAGTTCAAGTTGAGGTTCGGGGATAATTCATCTATTAAAAGAGCAAGTGGTTATTATTAAGGGTAACGAGGTTAAGTCTGACTTGTACGGCATTACGAAAAGTGTCTGAACAAATATGATTATATGCTTGTCATCAGAACGTATTTACTCTACAAATTATGATGCACATGAATTTGTTGTCTTTTCTCCAAATTAAGTTTTTATATACGTATTTCTTAAAATTGATCTAACATTATTTGTCGATATTCATGCTGCTAAAAAGTTAAATGGTGCACTTGGGTTAATCTTGAGATTTTACCCAAATGAATGGAGATCAAGTCTCACTTAATACTTTCTTTTTTCATTTATTTAATGGGCGTACCCATATTCTAGAAATTCTATATCCTCCTCTACTTGTCGCTAGGTTGTTCACCTAGTGTTGTTTATGATATTGATATCATTAAAATACTCCCTATTAAAGGTAAAATCTCACGTGATTATGGTTAAACTTTTAAGCTATAAGAGGACTTTGAAATGCATCCTTATAATTTATAGTTGGGTTGAGATTAAAAAATAGGTGTTTTTTTATTTAATTATTTTTGCGGAAAATAGTTTCTTTTCTTTCCTTATAATATATTTTTGAATTATTATTTTGCATTCAAATGTCACATGTGTTCTTTCAATTAGTCATTACGACACATCACTCTCTAGTGTAATACACACATTAGTATAATTTTAGTTGATTGTCAAAAAGTGTCGAATAACACAAATTTTAAGTTGTGTACATATTCAATAGATACAAGGCTTAGTTAAGATGTCTAAATGAAAATCATACCATTTTTTTAGATATTTGTCGATGGTTCCTCTTTATCCTAAATATACAATACATGCCACGTGACTTTGGCTTATTAATAAGCATGCCGAATGTGATGCGTGAGTTAGGCTCATGTATGTCAGAAGTAAAATTGTGTCACAGACAAAAACCTGATATTTAAGTGGAAAACATTAAAGGGACATATCTACCATCCACGGATAACCCTCAAAATTCTCAATACACACCCGTGGTGTCATCATCTGAGCTAACAATGGATCAAATACCAAACCCTAGTTCAAGGACAAAGAATTGTGAAGTTTGTGTTTTTGCCTAAGGTGAGTCTTTCAAGGTAGTATAGCTTGGCAAGTGCTATCAAGAAAGGAGAAATTGTGCAAAAACACATGGTTGTAGACACTGAATTCCAAACTCAGATGTGATCATCTCTACTAACTTTAATCTACATTTATAATGCTTTTGTCACCATCAGTTTCCCAGAGTCTAGGCCAGAAGTCAAGAACATAGGGATTAGGACAAGGTTAAAGTCATCTCAACTTTATCTACTTCGGCATAGCAGGTAAATCAGTAAGAGTGGGAATCAAAAGTTATAAACTAGCCTGTAAATTGCATCACCTGCCAAAAAGACAAATAAATAGGAACAAGTTGTGACACTTCACAGTTTATCTTCACCTCCATAGATATAGAAATGTTGACAAATGACACTCATCAGTCATCCAGAAGAAAAATTTGTAAGGCAGTTGATTGCAATCTTCACTCAAACTTTAACTAGTGGAATATTAACTCAGCAGGATATATAGAAAGGCTTTGCCTTATAGTGGAACTAGTGGCAATCTGTTTGAGAGAGAGAGATGTTATAGTGGCCTCTAAACTAAAATCGGGCATATGGTTCAAAATAAATGGAATCCATTCACGTGCTAACACATTTGGAGCTGGGACTCAATTATAGACAACTTTGTTGCACTGGAACCTGGCATCAGATCAAGTCGAGATAAGCTACTTGAGGCCATGCGCATGTTACATAGTCTGTACATTCCCCTGAGACTGACTTCGAGACTTGGCTGCCCCTTCTTTCCATCCTTTTTGACGCGCCCTCATCTCCCATGTAGCAGTCATTTTCTTTTGTGCCAATAAAAGAACCTCAGCTTTTTCCCTTGCCTCTTCACATGTTTCCATTCCAGAATTGCACTTGTCTGCTTCTTTCATATATTGGGATGTCAACTTTTTTGCTTCAAGAAGTGCCATGTCTGCCTTCCGCTGATTTTCTGAGGCTTCAGCTTCTCGCAATTTAAGTTCCTCAGACAACAAATCAGCAAAGTTTTTTTCCGTGTCTTCACCAACTTCTGGATCACGCTTAGCACAATCTGCAAAACATTGAATAAGAAGGCAAATCCAAGATTTTAGATCTCAAGTCACAAAATATAGATTTTAATCCTAAAAAGAAAGAGTAAATGGCTACTTCAACGAAAGAACACTAAAATATAGGAGGTTCACATTTATTATAGGATATTTTGAACATATTCAGCTTATTAAGATGTCAAGCATTTGCAGTCTTGCAGATCATCTCATTATTTGCACAGTTTCAACTCATTACAGAATCAAAGAAATCATGCCATCCTTGAACTCAACCATCATATTTGAGATGGTTGTTTAATGGATGCAACTAAATAAATGTTTTTACAGCAACAAAGTTCGGCAAAATATCCTTTTTAAAATAACAGCAGTTTCTAACCTACCAAGTACTAAAAGGTCTCGTATCTGAAGTCATACGATACGCTCTATCAAAACACAGATTAGATGTATCTGACATAAACTCATAAGAACTCTTCCTTTCTTGTCCATTTTCAGATTTCAAACCAAAAAATCTCAGATTTATAACAATACATGTTATACGTCTCCTCAGATGATTTTCACAACTAAATTAACCGCAATTATGCTGTAATCCTTCCAATTTGAGAAAAAAAAGAGCAGGTAATCTACTGCAGAAAAAAGTATGCTGCCGTTGTTTTAGTAGCCAAAATAAATTTATATTGAGGGAAGAAACTGAGAAAAGATAGAGAGGGGGACGAGGAAGGCATGTCCAGAAATTTTTCGAAGTTGTTATCAGGCAAGCAGTGGAAATGCTCATAGAATTTGGAGAAATACTTGTCTGAATTTTTGGATCCATTGAGTTGTTGTAAGTGGTAGCTTTTATGCTCCCTTTGTCCAACAATAGTCGTCCACTCTACTAAAAGTAGTTGTCCGAAAATACTTGTCCATTTGGAAAACCAAAAGATAATTTACCTTTTTGTGTCTATTTTACTCTTGCTATTAAATACTACTATTTATCATTTACACATTTCTCAAAGCATTAAATTTAATAAATCCAAATGATAATATAGTAATATTACCCCTATTATTTATTGTTTTTTAAAGTGTGTGCCAAGTCAATAGTGGACAACTATTGTTGGACAGAGGGAGTATCAAAGCTACTGCCTTTTACATGTTAAATGTAGTTGTGGCAATCAGGGGATCCATCAAAAGTCCAAAACAATGTCCTTGACAAAGGCAGGTGTCATACAAGGGAAAACCAAGGGTTATATCACATCAGGTGTTAAGTTGTCAAAGCTAATATTTTCATGTGTCACGTAATAGCTTCCAATCAAGGTATCATTCTGACAGTCACAACAGAAGAAAGCAGGTTATTCAAGAAAATATAAGGGTTCAATCAGTACATAAGCAGGTTATTCAAGAGAAAATACGGGTTCATTTTTTTATTTTATTTTTCCTTAAAAAAAAACACAAACCAAATTAGAAGCCCTTCCTAAAATTTCATCTGCAGGCCTATTTACATTGAGGTACCTATGGAGTCCAAAGGAAAATCTCTGACATAACTTTAGAGCGAGAGCATTTGACAACACCAACCTAGAATGGTTAAATAACCCTTAAGCTCAAAGCTGAAATACTAACCCAAACATATTCCTATGATAATAAATTCATGAAAACATAGAATACTAAGTATTGATGATCTCAATGTTAAGAAAGGTAAAGCATCAGATAACAGCTAGAAGAAGAAAATGACGACTTGATGAAATCTTCCATCAGATCACAAAATAAATGATACCATAATCAAAGAAAACTAAAGAACTGCCAAAGATCTCATGATACTAACCTGTCAAAGAGACATTGCTCAAACCTGCAAGATATACAAAAATAAGAGGTCAATGGGAGAAATTCTCGACAAACCAATATCCTCACGTAACCAGATACTCTAAACAAGCCTAACAAAAAGACATGGTGTCCAGATCATAGGAAATGACAATTCCACAGTACAAGCACAGCAAGTAAGCAAGAGAAATCTTCCATGGCTCCACCATGGTCCATTCACAGGACAAAGACCCAAAAGCTATCACTAAAAACTCCCAGTTTTAAGATAGGTGAGTTCAGAATTGTTCAAGATTTACTATATCAGGAAAAGGAAAACCAGAAGAATTTAATATATCTCAAACTCGCAAGAAACGTGTGAAGGTCAGCCAACCTAATTAACCATATTAGCCCCGACTTCAAGATAACAGGTGTCATAAGGAGGAAAACTAAATAGTATGTTTAGACATTCTTCAAAGTTAATAGCAAATTTTCTAACCCATACATCCCTGACTCACGCCCTTCCTCCAAATAATCCCAAACTACACATAACAACAAACAGGATGATTGAGGAATATTTCAATTCACGTTGACTCATTCACGAATCAAGCCATGGAAATATTGTCAGAAATATAAAAAGAACAGAAATGATTAACAATAGAAACAACAACTAACATTCTGCAATAATTGAACTTCAAACAGTATAAACTTCCCAATTTAGCTTGAGATTAGAAGTACAAAACTATAATTTCAACTCACTGTGTCATTTTAGCAGGATTATGATTCAATATACGTAGCATTCAGAACACAGAAAGCAAGACTGTGACAATCAATTGGATTCTGCTTCATTTGGAAAGCAGATCCAAAACCAGAACCAACAAAGGTACAATTTTTTAAAGATCTTTCTATCAAACGACCAGATTCACAAATGGGTCTTTAAGCAAGTCAGCAAATTTAACAAAAGGGGTCTTTAAATAACCATATCCGCTCATGGGTCCTAAACCAGATTCACAAAAAGACCATTCTTGACAGTTAATGGCACAGAATACATCAGATCAGGGAAAATGTATACCTGGAGGAATGAAAAAGAAGGGTTCGGAATTGCAGTCACAATTACAAGGAGGGCAAGTAGTAACAGAAGAAGAACGGCTAACAGCAGCTAAACCTTCCATCAAGTGCCAATACAAAGGTGGACCCAAAATATAGGCTACCAAACTAATTGCCATTAGACCCAATACTGATTTCAACACCCTAGGACTACATGGTGATGATCTTCCTGCTTGATTCAATGCCATTGGTCGTTCTGTTTGCTTTCTCTAGTGGCCAGTAAGCAGAGAAGTTGGGGTTTTTTTTTTTAGTTTAATTGTTAGTTTTGTGCTTACCTATGGAGACCAATAGCAGATGAAGGAGAGTGTTGAAGAAAGATCAGATGTTTTTTTTCCTCTGCTTTTCAACTGCTGTGACGCGTTTAGGAATTTAGCCCAGATCCGCCGACGCCTACTAAAGTTCGGATTTCAGCCCATTAAAATGGTAATTATTTATTTTTAAAAAAAAATCTTCTAATACATCTGAAAGTTACTGATTCAATTAAATCTGAAAATGAGTTTTGGTGCTGTTTATAAGTTCTGAAGATGTTTAGATTACTCAAAAAATACTTTTAAACATTTTATTAAGGCTGATAAAGTATCTAAAAAAAGTCAAAAATAAAAAATTGGGGCTTATAAGCCACTTTAAAAAAAAAAAAAAAAACTCATCCAAACACACCTTAAGTTATTGAGATTGTTTCATAAAATCAACCCAATTCTTAATCTTTTTATCTCCTTAAAATCAGCGCTCTACTCCTCCTTTCTTCCTTCATAATATTAGAGTTTTCTTTATCTACTCAAAATCTCCTTGAATTGGTAAGATTTTAAAAAAGTTACAAATATGTTGTTTATTAATTTGTTAAAGGAATCTTTGTTTCAAATGAATTGTTATTCTAATTGGCATGCTGGAGCGTAGCTAGCATATTGTTAGGAGTTCATGATTAAAATGTAATTATTATTATTTTTTTTTAAAATCTTCTAATACATTTGAAGGTTACTAATTGGTTAAATCTGAAAAAGAGTTTTTATGCGCATTTGAATTGACTTATTTTTGATGATTTTTTATTTTTATGTTATTTTTAAGTTTTGACCGTATTTGAATAACTTAAAAAATGTTTTAAGCAATTTTTTTAAGGTTGATAAATACATACACAGAAAAAAAAAAAAAAAAAAAAAAAAAAGGTCAAAAATTGGGGATTATAAGCCACTTTCAAAAAAAAAACTCATCCAAACACTCCTTAAAATCATTGGGTTGTTCATAAAATCAACCCAATTCTTCCTCTTTTTTCTCCATAAAATCAGCGTCCTACTCCTCCTCTCTTTATCCATAAAATCAGTCGTTAGCTTTCTTTAGCTACTCAAAATCTCCTTGAATTAGTAAGACTTCAAAAAATACAACTAATGTTGTTTATTAATTTGTGTTAAAGGACTCTTTATTTCACGAAGCATGAATGAAATTATTATTTTAATTGATATATGTAATACGTTAAGTTTTCAAATAAGTAGTGAATGTAAAAATTGAAAAAAAATATTTGAAGACTAATTGGTATGTGTAATACTTTTAAGTTCTCAATAAGTAATGAATGTGAAATTGAAAAAACATTTGAAGGTGTAAAAAAAAAACTGTTTTATGATTTTCACTACCTAAAAATATTAAACATTACTTTTTATTAAGAATATTTTAGAACTTTGAATTAAATAATTCAAACCTTCATATTAATAAATAAATTTTTTACAATAAACATCAAACGTAATGTATTGCAAATAAATGGTTAACCTTTTATTAACTAGAATTAATGCTTACTTTTTTATAAATAATGATGGCTTATGTCTTTTATAATATTACTATGTTAGTTAGTTATTCATATATTTTATATTCATGTGTATTCGTTAAATTTAAATGTTATGATTATTTATAACAAATATTTTTAGTGGATATATATTTTTTTAATAATGGAGATTAACTATCTCTTTCTTCTGTTGTTCAATAGTCGTGACGCGTTTGGGAATCGTTCTGTTGTTCAACAACTGTAACTCGTTTGGTTAATCATAGTTATTCAAAAGTTATGATGTGTTTGAAAATTGTAGCCAAATTCGCCGACTTTCTCAGTGAATCATATAGAACCATGTTGTTTCATTGAATCAACCCAATTCTTCCTCTATTTTTTCTCCATAAAATGCCCTACTCCTCATTTCTTTCTTCGTAAATCAACAGTTAACTTCATTTAGCTACTCAAAATCTCATTGAATTGGTAAATTTTTTTATTGTTCTTCTAGTTGGTGTGTGTATCCAATTGGTGTTGTAATACTTTAAGTTCTCAATAAGTAATGAATGTGAAAATTGAAAAAAAAAACATTTGAAGGCATAAAAGACTTTTTAATAATGAAATTTATGATTTTCATTACAAGCAATATTGAACATTGTAAAAAAATACAAAAGAAAATTAAAAAGAGAAGAACTATCTACTTTTTATCAACAATATTTTAGAACTTTGAAATAAATAATTCAAATTTACATACTAATAAATAAAAAATTTACAATAAACATCCAACATAATGTATTTCAAATAAATGACTAACCTCTTATTTACTAGAATTAATCCTTATTTTTATAAATAATTATAGGTTATGTCTTTTATAATATTACTATGTTAGTTAGTTATTCATATATTAGAGCTCACATGTCTCCATTAAATTTAAATGTTTATGGTTATTTATCACAATTTTTTAATGGATATATCATTTTTTTAATAATGGAGATTAACTATTTCTCTTTCTTTTGTTGTTCAATAGAAGTGGTGCGTTTGAAATCGTTCTATTGTTTCACAGTTGTGACGCGTTTGGAAATTATAGTTATTCAATAATTGTGATGCGTTTGAAAATTGTATGCCAAATCTGCCGACCTTTTTGGTGATCCATATAGAACCTTATAAGGAGAGCATTTAGAATCAGAGCATTAAAGGTAGAGTCAATGGTGATACTATATCACCATTCAACAAGGGGTAAATAGAAAATCCTATTTGAGGATTATTTGAGCAAAAAACCCTAAGATATGTTTTTAACTGTTGTGTTCTAGACCTTTGTTTGCCTTCTTTTTTTAGGGTTATAAATAGTAGAATGATCTCCTTAAAGACTAAATATTTTTTATCAAAAAGAGTTCAAAATTTTTGGATCTCAGTAACTTATCAACTAAAAGACTAAAGACATTATCCAAGAAAACTTGAGTCGCGCGCGACTGTATAAGACTGTTGCAGTCCTATGAAATGTTCGTACTTTCTTAATCTATCTACCACCACCAAAATAACATATTTCCTTTTTAATTTAGACAACCCCTCTGTGAAATCTAAGCTGATAGAATCTGTCCACACCCCTCAGGAATAGGCAATTGTTAAAGAAGGTCAGGTAAGAGAGTGAATAGACAAGATATGTCTTCAACTTACCAATGACATGACCTTAAATATTATTAGTAAAATAATGTTCAAAAACATTAAATTAGTAAAGTTTTATATTCTCACTGAACAAAAAACTTTTATTTAGAAAAATATTGAGACCACGTAATACATTGTGTGTTCTTAATAAATTTAATCTCCTCATTATATCGGGATGATGAATTAGTTCCTACTGATGAAATAAATATACCCGATATACGAGGAGTAGAGGTATATCAAACGCCTACAACTTCGTCGAACTCAAAGACGGACTCAAATCACACAGAAACTCAATTTTTGTTTATAAGAAAATATCCATAAGTAATTTAGAATTCGATGTAGAAAAACGTCTACAACTTTGTTGAACTCAAAGATGGTCTCAAATCACACAAAGATTCAAAAAAAAATTATAAGATAATATCCATAAGTAATTCAGAAATTGATGAAGAAAAATGAGAGTAAACCTCTTTATTTGTAGCTGGAATTATGAGTTGAAATTGATGTAAAAACATCTATTTGTAGCAAATTTGGTGTTTGTTTGGAAAGAACATGTCCTTTCGAATCACCGTTGAAATTATTCAACAAAACTCAAATTAAATTTTGTGCAAAAATATTATTAAAAATGGGAAAAGAAATAAATTAATTTAGTTCAAAAAGATTATCAATCAACTCATTTGACCAAATTCAAATCGAAATCGAGCGAGGACTTTCTTCTCAACTCTTTATTAATTAGAAGAAGTGTTTCTCTATATATAAGCATACTAATCTTCCTTTCTTCCACCAATGAGGGATAACGTTCCAATATAGAAAAAACTTAGCTTTAATATTTTCATTTTCCCGTTTATTTTCATCCACATCAATACTTTACTTAACTCTAACAAATACGAGGATATGGATGACGCAAAATATGGTATGAAGGTTAGTAGCTAGTTGAATGTTGTCTCACTTATCCTTCCATACTAGTAGTCATAGCATTACTTTTGTAATTTTTTTGTTTTTCGATTTCTCTTATTATTTGTTATTTTTTATGCTCTAACTTTAGTATTATTTTGTGATAGATACTTTTTTTTCTTTTTTTCTTCTTCGTAATGTTTTATTATGTTATGTTTAGTCCTCTTTGCTTTTGTTATTTATTTTCCCCTGTTTTGTTATGCTTTCTTCTTGAGTTGAGTGTTTGCATACACATTATTCTTTCAAAATTTATTTGTGGGATTACACTAGGATGATCATTTGGTTGGTGGGAGAATTATAATCTTGGGATATTTCATAAGATTATTTTATCCTATATTTAATAATGGATATTATTTAGTCATAAGACTATTTTATCTCACCAGTTTAATGTAAATGGTAGAATGAGTTATTCAATAGGGATGGTCAGATAAAATAATCTTGTGAGATATTCTTGTCTATCTCATCCCACTAACTAAACGATCCTTAGGTATGCTATTGTTGTTTTCATCATTATTGTTTTTGAAAGCTATAAACATCTTAATTCTGGAGAAATAATACATAAATAAAATAAATATTAAAATAGAGAAATTATATCTTAAGATATATGTAATGATAAGAGAAGCAAAATTCAACATAGTCAATATTCCCTTCGGTCCGTAATAAATATATACTTAGCCTTTTATTTTGATCTTAACTAAGGGGTATATAAAGATTAATAATGTAAGGATTAGTAACGTAGAGATTAACAATACATAGATTAATAATGTGGAGATTGTTTTTTATCAAGTGTTTGGTTCACTGCTTCCCACCTAATTTTGTTTTTTGCTTAAAACTCTACAAAAAAATAATTTTATTTCCAATTATACCCTTGAATTATTATGATATTTTCAATTTCATATAATTGAGTCAAGGTAGATAGATAATTGTTGGATAATTATACCCTTCTTTCTTTAGAGCTAACAAAGAAGACAACAATGATAAATTTTGTTAGCCACGTAGGGTTCATAGTTGAATTTAACACCTTTTTTTATTTATTTATAAATTCTT